TGCTTCAGTCACATTCATCTAGGCGAGTTATTAACGCATTTGAGTCTTTTATGAGTGTTTCATTAGATTTTATTGCCTTTATTTTATTTGGTCGTTTCGATTTTATTCTTGTTTCATTTTATAATTTTATAGAATTATTTTGGTTTCCTTCTGACAATAAGCGTTTAGGTGGGTATCTGTTTTAGCAATACTTGAACGGTTCGATTGTGTATGTTTGTGTAAGAATATGTTGTGGTAGGGTAGAAGTTGAGTGAAACTGTATATATGTGTGTTGGAATTTTAAATTTTATAATGAGTTGATAGTTTAGTGGACGTGTTATAATGGATGATTTTCGCGAGGCATATTATTGGTTACGAAAGAATACGGCAGAGAATGCACGAATAATGTCGTGGTGGGATTACGGCTATCAGATTGCCGGTATGGCGAATCGAACGACGCTTGTTGATAACAACACTTGGAATAATTCGCATATTGCCTTGGTTAGTTGCATTCAGTTCGGTTCGTTTTTGGTTTTGTTGCGGGAGTAATTGGGGAGTAAATGTAATTAAGATTGTGAAGTTGTTGCGGAATTGAATGTGAAGGAATGAATATTTTAGGTGGGTAAAGCGATGTCATCGAATGAGTCAGCCGCATATGAAATAATGCATTCTTTAGATGTTGATTATGTTCTTGCCATATTTGGTGGTGTAATCGGATATTCTGGTATGTACTGGATTTTATTCTCACTCATTCTGAGTCTTTATTTTATTCTTTGTTTTCTTGATTAGTGCATTCCTTCTCATATTACGATTCTGTTCGCATTTTGTCCTTGTCGGATGGAATGTGGTGTTTGTTTTCTCCATTTCGTAGAGAAATTTGGAATGAATTGTTCTTTTTTTTTCAGGTGATGATATCAATAAATTTTTGTGGATGGTGCGCATCGCAGAAGGTGAATATCCGAAAGAGATTCGCGAGGGGAATTATTTCTCAGAGTCGGGTGACTACACGGTTGGCGCACAAGCCTCTGAGACGATGTTGAATTGCTTGATGTATAAGATATCATACTATAGATTCGGCGAGGTTCAGGTATCGTTTTTAGTTGAATTTAGTTTTGTTTTGTTGGAATTGTCTTGTTTCTGTTGTCTTGTAATTTTATTTTTTCGATTCACCATCATATGCTAGATATCTCTACGTGAGAGGTATATGACATTGAGGAAAAGGAGTGCAGAGGAAAAATTAATCAGTCATTTGGATACATTGGTTCATTCTTTTTTTGGTACCTCACGATGTAACTTTATTTCTTCCAGATGGGATATCAGCAGCCGGCTGGATTTGATCGATCTCGTGGTTATGTGATCGGTAAAAAGGATGTCACCTTGGAGCATTTGGAGGAGGCATACACCTCAGAGAATTGGTTGGTACGTATATTCAAAGTGAAGAAACCAGCGAATCGCCCCACGATAAAGTACCAACAAAGACACATCAAATCGTGGAGACCGTTGAAAGTTTCGAAAAAGGTTCCGTTTTTTTTTTGAATTTTATTGTGTTTCAATTTTCTACGAATCACATTGATTGTATTAAATTCGTCATTAAGACTTGAATGTGTTAAATTCTTCAACTGCTGTGTTTTGAATATGAGGCATTCGAAGTATCGTAGAGGTTGTTTGTTAACTGTTTAACTTTTTGGTGTTGCATATGGGATATCACATGCATCGTCATCTAATAATTATGAGTGTTTTCATGTTGTATCCCCCTCATTCAGTTTATCGTTTTCTTTGTTTCGTTTAGTTCAAATTAGTTTATTGAGTTTAGTGACTGACTATTCTCGTTGTGGTCAGTTCACATTCGTGGAAATAAAAGAGTAAATTTTAGGGTAAATCGAAACGTGGTATCATTAAAGGAAGACCATTGGTGATCAAGGGTAAGCGGTCGTCATCGCCTTCGTCGAGCAGCTCATCTGCATCTCATTAATTTATTCATCGCGTTGATAATGATCCATATATTCCAGAATAATGCTCGTTCATGTCGTTCGAACGGTCGCAATGATCGCTGCATGTATTTTGCGTTGTTTTAGTTCCATTGGAGTGTTGTGCAAATGCTTTCATAAACTTTTCATCAACTTTACTGTGTAAAATCATAAATTTCAGTCGTAATCTGAGATAGATAAAACGAAAAGTTTCGTGATTTGAAATTTGTTTGTGAAGATGGAAAAGTTTTGTGGTTTGAAATGGTAACCA